AAGTAATCTGTTCACACAATTCTTAATGATCTCATATCGTTCGTTTCGCCAATATCGTTTTGTTAGTAAGATACATTAGTAAAAAAATGCTCGCACTCTTTGGTTGAAGAGTGCAAAGTCAATTGAAGTTGCAGTGTTAATTGTTAAGCTCAAGTAAAAGTATCGAGGGACGTGTGTTGGACGAGATATCAGATTGTGTGTTTTAAAAAACTACATATCATTATTTTTAAATGACTGGCGTGTCGAGAGCGCGCTGCCGTTTATCGATACACGCGCAACTATAATATAAATTCCGGTTTCTTCATATCAGATAAGCGTTACTTGGACCATTTTTTTTTGCGAGCCTGTCTCCCATTGTCGACTCCTTCTTTAATATGCGGAGAAACGCACGTTTTGTATTCAGTTCACAATAACGCCGCAGAAATTATGTACGTAACACCACGGGCAAGAAAGTTATTTCGCGAGTTTTGCGTGTCAAAAGTTACAAACGACCGTCTGCCAGTCAGCGAGGGAACAAAGACGATCGACAAATTGGCCCCGAATTCCCCGCTGTCGCCGCAACGGCGACGTGAACAATGATTTTCTTTTCGGCCGTCGATCGGGCGCGACCGACTCTTTTGTTCGTTCGGATATGGTCAGATAGACTCGTGTAAAAATTGCTTCCGCAATAACGTATTTCGAATACAAGAAACGTTTAAAGTTTCGTGCCGGACGCGACGACGAATGCGCCGTCGCGTCAATTTTTATCTTAAATTTACATTATCATTCATTGACACACGCCGATGCAATTTCACTTCGTTCATCGCATCGAAAAAAGCCCAGGTACCGTGAAAAGTCATTACTTTCCAAAGCGACAGCTTCGCGACGGCTAAGCCGGAAAATAGAGCAAAAGTTTGAAACGTACGAATTTCTCGCAACTGTTTCCCGCAAACGTTCGATTCACTTTTCCACGAATAAATACATATCGATAATAACAGCAATAGCTTCCAATTTTATGAGATGCTAAATACAGTTTAAAACTTCATATTTTACTGCAGAACGATAGAAAAACAGGGGGGGAGAGAAGAATAGGAGGAAAGGGAGAGAGAAAAGAGAAATTCAAAGAAACATTTTTTACAGAAATCAAGTTTCCCGTTAAAAAAAATCGTAAAAGTCCATTTCCAATTCCATTTTCTTTCAACAAAAGAATTTAAAACAAAATTTTTGAAAAAGCAATTTCCGTATACGTATATTAAAATAATAATTTAAAAACTGCGTACGCGATTAAATATTCAGGGTGTAATAAATGTATAATATTAGCGAGCAAATACTGTATATTAAATAAAAATAAATGAGATTGTAATATCAATAACAAATGTGATAAATACATTAAAATACTTGATATTTATTTTTTGAATTCTAAACATTTTTTTGGACTACGTCGGAAGAAAAGGATCGGCCAAATAAAAAAGGAAATCAATTGATAATATCAAATGTGTTTATGACATTTTTTTCATTAAAGAAAAAACAATATTAAAATTTTGTAGCACATAAATCGCCAAATCACTGGTCTACACAATTACGCAGTTTACTTTGTCATGCGTCTCCAGTTACATTAATTAGTAGTTTGTTATTCCGGAACTCCACGATATGGAAACGCATATAATTTTCAGCGGTCGTACCTGTATTTAGTTACCGCAAAAGAAATGTCACCATTAATGATATTAAACAGGATTATATTACGTGGAGGACTGCGACGTAATTAATTTAAAAGTTCTAGAAAGAGAAATACGTCGAAAGAACATGTTCCATATTATTGCACTTTATACTTGTATCGTAAAAAGGAAACTTCGTGGGAGCTAAACAAGCACAGACTCGATAGAAGTTGTAACACGTAACCTCTTTACTCAATTAAAGACACGGGTAAATCCGTTGTTTCGCATCGCTTGTAATAACACAATTCGAGTTATGTCTTGCGGACAATCCGAATTGAAACTATGTATTTCTCAGTATTGTATCATTCGATTTCTCCAGTGAGAAATTCAAGACAGCAAGCAAATTTAATAATCGTCACTTCTTTCCATTTTTCCACAAAGTGTGTGTGTCACGGTTTTTTTTTGGAGGGGGGGAGGAGACAGAGTTCTCGAGCTGCTTTTTTATTGCCCACGAATGCAAGTGCGTACGTTTGTATGGCGTCCATAAACTCAAAGGGGAGGTAAAGAGATAGAGTAGAAGACACAGGTGAGAGACATCTGATTTAAAGTAACGTATTGTAAATGAAAGAACCAAGTGCACACGCGGACGTGTACGCGCGTGTGCAGTGCGCGGCGAGATCATCAAATGTTGCGAAACGAATATAATATAGTTGCGAACAGTTGCGAAAAAATTCCAACGCGAAAATATTCCATGTCGCAGCGAACTACGTAGCGAACATGCAGCGCGGTGGCTCTGCAGGCGCACCTTAGCGTATCCCCGTATAATTTCGCTAATTGAAGTGGGCAACGACAGGCAGGCACGACGCCAGAGGATTTACGCGGAATGCGGAAAGAATTAATATCTATATCATCTAGCAGAGTGTCTCTCGCGTATCCCGCATACGCGTCGCGCGTATTCGCCCGTGGATGTAGAAAAGTCAAGTTGAAAAACGCACAGTATTACGTTCTATTTCACGCTGGGACATTAGCATTACTGTGGTCATATGATATAATATCAAAATCGTTTGTTTTTTTTATCACGCCTACACCTGTAACAGCCCTAACAGCAGTCACGGAGTCTAATTCCTGGGTAATGAATTTAAGATGAGATTACGTTATCTAAAATTCACTTTGCACCTTGTTTACCGAGACGCGCAAAAGGCTGAGAAAGCTGAAACGTCGCGCGTGAATACAAGTCGGGAATACAGCATGGATATTGAGAAAAGAGCCGCTTCAAGTTCAAAGTGTCCGTAAAAAAAGTGCCCTGAAAAAGAAAAGTCCAACTTTCGTCGTAATCTGCGTGCTATATCAGTGATTGAAAAATACAACGTCGCCTGTGCGTACAATGTTACTTGCATATATCCGGCGCGAGAGTGGAAACTCGTATATACGCGCGGCAAGTCCTCCGTCGGAGAGATCTCTCCTCTTTCTCGTTGACGAGCGCGAATTCAACGTAGGTCGATCCTCTCCCGGTGTTAACGCTCCGAGCTGGGACGTCGATCGATCGCCGGTATCGAGATCGTTAGGGAATTAATTACTTGTCGCACGGGGCGACCTTTTGCGGCGGCGATTTGATTCGCCTGCTGGCGTCGTGTTATGCTGCGTTTCGCTGCTGGTACCAGAACCCTTTAATTCAGAGAACGGCAGTCGCGGTGGCCGGGGAGGCGACCCACTTATCTTCTGCGACCTCGCGTATTTCACGACGCATACGTTGCATACGTTTAACTTGCCGACAGTTGCGCATTTCCGCAACTTCGCGGCTGATCGTGCAACGAGCCGGGTGACGATACGCGATTCTTATCTAATGAGAATATAATGCCCAATTATACAAAGTAAACGTTTTCGGATGAAGGAAATTGCTCGCGTTTGTTATCAATATAAACACAAGGTATTCTCGTTCGTCGTTAACCGATACGCAACTGCTGGAAGGCTAAAAGATTCTCGGCCGTAGATCGTCAACTTATGCTATTCGTTGCATGTGATCTCATTCCTTAATAACGATTTATGGCGATCCGTTTATTAGAAACAAGTCGTTCCGGATCTGCAGTTCTGCTTGGGCTCGCGCTCGTTCGATGTTACGCTAGTTCTTTTGACCCAAATATGACAGTAGCGAGATATGTTCCATTTTTCTTTTATGGCTGCCGGTTGTTAGCCGATAAAGGAAAGTTGCAGGTGCTTCAGCTTTTGGAATTAAATAAAATTGCCTCTAATAAATACAAAGCAGTTACACCAAAAGATTACGTTTTAAACTTGAATGGAAATTCTGATAGAACCACAATATTCCATTAATTATAACTATATTGTTTAAATGTAGTGATTGTTAAACCGATAAATTGGTTTTCATGCCATTCTTAAATATTTCGACGCCGATAATTTACTAATAATTTAGTAATACAGACGACAAGAGCGAGAAGTTCGCTATATTTTTAACTCTAATGTGTCACTAAACAGATTTAATTCGTATAATTAAATGTCTACGAATAAAATGTTACGAAATTTTACATATACTCCAGTGACAAACGCGAATGATATAAATTATCCTACAGTCAGTCCACAACGTTTCTACTTTAATTCATTTAAAAGTGAATTAAAATCATATCCTTGTCTCAAAGGGAGATCTTAAATTTTTATTCCACCCCTTGTCTCGATCTTTCTCCCACGTTTGTTTAGCGTAAATTAAATTTATTTCAACACATATTACAATATATAAATTATGTCGAGTTATTCGCCAAACGTTGAACGCGTAATTCCTCGCGTAAAATCGATCACCGTGTTATCAGTGAAAAAGATTTGAGAATCGCTGCTTCAACGGATACTAGAGGAACCGCAATGGAAAGCTATCACTCTGCCCGTATTGCTATCTATCTCGGAATCCGGTATGTACGAGATTTTAGTCAAAATTGCTGAGCGCGAAAGGGTCAACAAGCCATCCACTCGCTGAAGCGCAGTTGAAGATCGCCGATTCCTGCTTCGGTCCGATGGAAAGCTCCATTTCGTACAAAATTGAAATGTAAAACATCGATGTAAATATAATCGCGCGCGCGTTTTGTTACTGCGAAAACTGCAGAGCGGTAGAACGTGCAGGCGCGTATATTTACGCTCCTCTACGCCTATTTGCCCTTTTAGAGCAGACCGCCCCTGCTCGCGGAGCGCCTTTTCGTCGCTCGCACTTTTACGCGGCGACAACGAAACTGTGGTCCAGCGGAGTGTTAAGTCTCGTCTACGTAGAAGTCGTAAAGTCGCAGTCGTAAGAATAGTCGACGGTGATTGGTTAATTCTTATGTGCCTGACTGAATTGACCAAGTACAGTCGATTATTCTTACGACTGCGACTCTGCGACTCTCATTGTGGACATTAGGGTCAGAGCACAAAGCAACGTGATAGCTTACGGCAAAGACGTAAGCGTAAACCGTAGATTAGCGCACAAGCTTTGGCGTGTGTCGCACTTACCTCCAATTACATATGAAGTCACATTTACGCCGAAGCTTGCGCGCCAGCTACGTTTACGCTTGCGTCTTTGTTGTAAGCTATTACGTTGCTTTGTGCTCTGACCCTTAAGTTCGACGTGTTGAAGATCGATGCGATTTCCTTTCTCCTAACGGGTCTCGGTTACGCGCGATAACGAGCTCGCCTGTAGTAATCTACGCTGATTGCTGCCTTCGGTGTCGCGTTTCACCTCACAGGCATTGTATTTTACGACTTCTTCGGGCGCGAACGTATTCTTCGCGTTAACGACGCCTACGCTCCTCGTAAGATACGCGCCAAGTCAATCCTCTGTGGCCTATATTTACGTTTTACGGTAATCACGAAGATTGTATACCTCGGGATTAAAAACATTTTATCACTCACGGTCGGAATTGATAGAAGCTATGAAAAGTCCAACGATCAATCTCTCTAAAACATGTGATTAGATCACGAAAGAAACTCGCTCACTTGACGACTCCAATTTTTCACAGCGCATTAATCGGTAGGTGATTGAAAAATCGGCGTACAACGGGGAAATAAGCTAAGATCGGAATGTATTGTTCGAGGTTTCGAGAGCGAAATAAAAAAAAAAAGATTTATGCATCGATTAATCGGGCGCTGCGTGCCTCGTCGAAGATAGAAAAAAAATTCCCTCGTCCACAGAGAGCTAACAACGCACGACGTCGAGAAACGCGGCCGGGTAGGTCGCTACTTCATTACAAAGCGATACGCACGTGCCTCCTCTTCTCCCGCGAAGTTGAGAGCGGTATGAAGCGTTCGATATACTTGGCCTCTTCCCCGACGAGAGTCACCTCGTTGACCCCCGTATCTGAAGACTGCTCCGAAGCGCGAGACGCTTCAATGGAGGTCTGCTGCCGCGACTCCGCTGCTCCAGATCATTCTGGATCGAGACGGCCCTCGGGTTTTACAGGACGTGCAGGTTCTCGCAGCTCTTCGACTTGCTGTCGCGCGCCCAGACCTTGTCGAGCAGATTGCGCACCTTCAGGCTGGTGCTGGTCCGACTGCCGCGGTACTTCTTAGGCGAGTTGTTCTCCGAGCAGGAACCCAGCGGCGACTTGCTGCGGTTCTTCCGCGATCTCTTCCGGAACATCTCCCTAGTCCTCTCGGGATTCTCCAGCTTCAGGCGGATTTGCGTGAGGAGGCCGACCAGCAGCTCGTCGACGTTGTGATTAATTCCGACGGATGTCTCGATGAATTTGCAATCGTAAGACGTCGCCATGGATTTGCCCTCTATAACGGTAGAATCGATTAAACTCGCGGTGGTATCGCGCGTCCCAAAAAATCGTAAATGGGCTACTTAAAAAATACGGGATGAACTTTAGGTTACATAAAATGGTCCGGAGTCGTTTGTCCACTTTTCGAATAAGTATGAAATAAGTGGTTTAAATACCAATGACAAATTAAAATAGCAAATACTGCATTAAATTCCCTCAGTAGGGAACAATTTATTTATTTGGCGCTATTGCACCCTCGATTGTGTTTAGCACGGCTGAATATAAAATGTGCCGAGGTATAAAATATTCGTATATCGTCGCGTTATTATTTCCGACGTGATCGTGACAAGCGCCAGAGCGCGAACAATCTCTAAACGAATCTCGAATGATTAGAGATCGCTAACCTACCCGATGAAGCACCCAATTCTCGTGAATGGCGTTTCATAAGCGTATTGAGGCGATAACTACTCATTGACGACATCTCGCGCGGTTTATTTATTTCGGGCCGGATTTGCGATGATAGGGGGCGGGGATTGTCGTTTCGCGATATTCGCGCGAGATAATTATTTATTTAACGCTGATATTCGGATATATCTCGTGACGCCCTTTTTCATCAATTCAAACGTAATTCTCTCGCCGTTTCCGAATTGAGAGAGTGCGGAATAATATACGAGTCGCCGGACCGAGCGATTCGAGCTAACAGAGAATATAAGCGAGTACATACCGACCGTTTATTAACAATTGACTTGATATGGAAGAAACGTAATATTCGCCGCCTATTTATTTTACAGCATTATTAAATATTTCCCGGTGGCGACGAATTGACTGGCACACGGCGCGCAGTGCTTCTGCCACGGAGCGTATTATTGTTCACACGGGGTTGCTTTTGTTATTGCTCGCGGGTGAACAGGTGAAAAGACAACGGCGCGAGACGCCCCGTGTGTTCGCGTCATTATCTCTCGAGACGCGATCGCAATAAGTATCGGATGAAAACGCTCTCGTGCCGCGTACGCGAGCAGTTAATTAATTTCCGCACCTATAATGATTCGTAAACAACACGTCGAAACGACGAGGCGGATATCTCGCGCTCGAAACACCATAGGCTTGTTTTTTATTCCTGCACTGGTGAACTAGTGCAATAAATTAGAGTAAGACAAGTATATATTTTCTCATTCTAGCTTACTGCACCAGTTCACCAGTGCAGGAACAGAGAACAAACCTCATGTCGCGGTATTCATACGTAAGATAGTTATGTTTCTTAATTACTTGGACTCGAAACGCATCTCGCATACCTCGGCCTTTGAGTTTTTCGCCGATTCGGATGAGATTTGATTTTCGGATTGAAAGCGCGGAGCAATAATCGCTAATTGTTCATACAGAGGATAATCGCGTTTTCTCAAATTGTGAATCGTCAAATTCAAGTAACAGCGAGCCATGTATACCCATCGTTTATTAATAGCATATCTATCTCGTGTGATTTATACGTTCGAGCCGGATTACATATGCAAAACTGAATTTCGATTATGTATTTGCGTCTTAATTAGCCGTTAATTCAACTTTATCAATTGTGTCCTATCGCACGGTATCAGAATGACGTTACCAATATTTTCGCACGGTCATTAACAAAATATCGCGAGCGCAGAACGGAGCGTCATCGCGACACGTTTAATTAACAAGCACTGTCGCAATTAATCACTCATTTCGTCAACCCTGTAATGTAAATTTGACAATTACGCATTGGCGATATATTAAAATCCCCTGTCGTCCGAGGCTCGTCCATTTCACTAATTTACAGAAATATCGCGGACCTCGTGCCTTGGTGCGATCGCATTTCTTTCGCGTTGCCCTCCTGACGCGAAGTAGCAAAGTGCGCATCGCGTGCCGTTAACGTCGGGAGTGTCGTATAGAGTGTCGTACGAAGTATCGTTTATCGTACTTTGATAATTAGCGCATGATCGTAATTAACTGTTTCAAGGAACGGGCGTTGTGCGAGTGCGTCGAAGGAGCGACGACGAGGAAGTCACAGAAAAGTGGGAGACCTGGGTGGCATCGGGTGCCGGCGGTGCAACGGTGGGTGAGTAACTTGTTATTTCAATCGTTGCCGCATTGAACGTTTACAATTATTTTACGCGCGGCGCACCTTTATCTCGAAATATCGATTATCTTGAGCGATAATTTGGAATAAGTTGTGCTCTATAGTTCAATGCGGTTTGTTTGAATTAAAATAAAATTCAAAAAATTGAATTTTATTTTAATTCAAATTTAGTTCGGAATTTATAAAAATTTATAGATATCCGTACAGACGCGCGTATTAGACGCCAATAAAAATATGCAAATAAATAAATTTATTGCGATCTCGACACTATTAGAATTTTCGCTTCTAATAGTCTGCAAAATTCTTTATAAAATATTAAACGATATACCGTGGGATATCTTGCAGACAAGCGCGGTATTATAGGAAAAAAAATGCACAATTGCGAGAAAGATGCTATTAATCTAATCACGTTTAACGGTACAGAGAAAGCGTATTCTATGCATCGATGCGTTCGCTGGAGGGTTTAAATGGCTTTTTCCCGCTCCACTGCCCTCGGAGAATTTGCATCGGAGCAAACCGAGGTGCTGCGTCAGTACATTTACGTGTGTTGCGTTATCTACGATCGCCCTATATCAGCGTTTCGCGCTAAATGCCACCTCAATGATAGATAGACTCTCCTCGTTTCTTAAGTACATTTCTAACGCGCGGCGATTTCCATTTTCGCGTGTCTCGACGAAATCTGTTCGATTTGGGTTAAGTAATTTCTGGGGGAAGAGAGGGAGATCGCGATCACATCATAGCTAGTCGGACACAAACATTACCTTCGGTTGACACAAGTCGGCTGCGAACAAGATCGACCTTGTTCCCCACGAGGATGACACCCCTCGAGGATACGTGATCGCTCCGCCATAAGGATTGGAGAACCTCCTCAGCGGCGCGCACCGAAGCCCGATCGGTCGTAGAGTAGACGACGCAATACGCGTGCGGCTCGTACGTCGAGATGCAATTTTCCGGCTGCAAGCATTAATTATGGCGGAGATGAATTAACACTAATGACCCACGATCGAGCTTATCTGTCTTCCAATTTATAAAGCAATATTAATTGATCGTCGTGTATGAAACAATCGCATCGACATCTTCGTATAATGTACAGATAAATCAATTACACGCGCAATTAAAATCGCATTTTAATTGCGTCATAATCTTGTTGCGGAAAGTCAATTTAATGATTTCAGCTTTACTGAAAGGCCTTTTCGTTGCGTTGCTTAAAATAAATGTAAAAAAAACGTATGTGGGGGTATCGCGTGGAACAATCTGTTTTTTGAAAATTTCAAACACGCAATTTTCCGGGTAGATATTAATCGTGATATAAACATTAATGACCATAATGGAGCTTGGCAGTCTCCATTTCCAATTCATGACACTTGTGCATGAAACAGTTTTGTACCAACAAAGTTCGCGTAATTTCTAGAAAAATTAATTAACGTAATTATTATCTCATTTTTGTTCCACCGACTTCAACGTTATATGCAAACATTTTATATCGTTCCACATCTACATTCTATATCTTTCTATATCATTTTAAACGTATTCTATTCCATAATCAAATTCATCCGATGAATCCAATAAAAGCTGCATCTGACGTATTTCATGTTTATCTTTCCGCTCCGCGAAACTAGTAAAATAAATATTTCTTTTTATTTCCTTTTAATCCAACGAAGCCAAAGGTTTCCTTCGGTTAGATGTATTAAAAAGAAGCGCGCCTTTTGTATAGATATTATAAAAGAGAACTTCTGTAGAACAAGGCATTATAAAAGCAAGCTTTAGAAGTTTGCTATTACGCTTTAGACATAACTTATATATAAAGGGAATATTATCTATACAGATTCCTTGGAGCGCGTAATCATGGTGATAGTATGGAATAAAATCGAATAGCAAAGTTGAAATATAAAATTTACCTTGCGATATAAAATTATAATTAATAGTTCCTGAACATTTTTTTAAGTCTCGTTGCTTTCATCATTGATGCCTAGTGTCATTGTGGATGACAGATAACATACGATGTTTCCAATTGAAATCAGTATGCCAAAAAGGGCTAAAGAGAAAGGGATCGTTATCCGTTTTATGGGTATTTAACACCTTGAAACTTAGAATTGAATTTTCACAGTTGACACGTAAAAAAATTTTAATTTTTCGACTCTTGCACTTTTGTTCTTTATTATTTGTGCTCTCTCTCTCTCTCTCTCTCTCTCTCTCTCTCTCTCTCTCTCTCTCTCTCTCTCTCTCTCTCTGAAAATATTATTTTTCGTATTTGCCAATTTTTACTGAAGTCGACATAGTTGATTAATTTTTAATTATCGGCGGAACATTTAAGAAATAAGATTGTTCCATGTTTTACCCGCTAAAGTAACAAACTTTGATAAAATCGTCTTTGACTCGTAAATCGTGTTAATTAAACTCGAGATTGTTGATATTATTGCAGTCAATATCGTGTTTTTGCCGTAAATCGAAAAATTAAAACATCGAGATGCATTTACCTTTTTACTTAAAAAGACCTATCTCCCTGTTTGCGAAGCGCAATCAAATGTCGCTGTTTCATTATTGTCCACTCAAATGACGTGAAAGTTTCTGGAACGTGTAATTGCAAACGCAGCGTTCCGAGTGTTGCAACACCCGCACAGAGTGCTAGGCAATAAATAGTAATCTCCCGAGCGATCTTTTTCACTGTACTCCATAATTGGTATTCACGACGAAGTGGTAACGAAATGAAATCTGCGTTGAGAAACGGAAGGAAGCTTTAGCATAAAATCACCGTGAGGGCCTAATTTGTATTTCGGTGGAGCTTTGGAAAAGACGGAGCATAATATTCAAGTCAAGTTGGAACGATAATCCCGGCTATACCTAAACCTGGCTTAGTGATTTGCCGTAATCTTTCTGACCTAAATGTCTGTTTAATATATACCGAGACACACACACCTGATTCATTCAAACAGCCCTTCATAAAAGCAAACATGATATTTGCTTGGAACAATGCTTAAAGTATTCTCAAGTACCTACATACAAGCGATATGTAACGATCGTACAATAGGGAAGGGCATTAAGATATTTCGCACGCACTGAACTTAAGTAAATCCAATTGATGGATTTCTTTTTATTGACAAAAATAAAAGTCCGCCCGGCTAAGGGGGTTAAATCACGTTAGCTCAGCCGGTCGTTAAAGGTTAAGATCGCAACGAGAACGGGTTCTATGATTTTGCGAACGATTATACGAAAGAATTACCTTGAACCGTATCAAAGGCGCGCTGCGCCTCGTGATATCGAATATATCTAGGGATCGACCGCTTAACGGTCGAACGCGCGGCATGGCTCGATGCTCGTCAATGACTCGCAGCACGCCTGGTTGAACGGAGGCAGGAGAGAACGAAGAACGCTTCGTTACTCCCTCAGGTCCTTTTTCTTATACCCCTCTAAGCTCGCGGTAGCTTACGATTAGCTCGCGCGGTAGCTCTGTTACTTGGTCGGTTACACAAAAACCGCAAATCGGACTGTCGCGCGCTTTGGATGCCAGACGGGCCCACAGGCTTGGATAACGTTGCTCCAAATGGGAATTTTCTCGTAGCGCGTACCCGCAAAATGCAAAAGAATGACGATAATTGTGTCGCTAGTTTGAAAAGAGTATCTCGGGATCTCTTACCCAAATTTTCATATATGCGCATATATCTTAATGTTACGTTAAAATTATCTTAATATTCCTACGTACTTTATGATTATTAAAGTAACAAGACTAATATATTTGAAAATATTCCTGGAAAATTAGGATTTCCAATAATTTTCTCAGGGAATATAGATTTGTTAAAATTAAATCACAGTTCGTTCTGATCTTATCTCGCAAATGCTTCTTTCTGAAAGTGTACGAAATCATTTAGTCTACTAACTACGTTTTCTTAAATTTAGTTTTATAAAAGAAGAAAATTGTATTAATAGCACACGCGGATAATCAATAATTGCGTGTTTATCTCGTCCCTTTTTCAAGTTTCTACGCGTGCTATAAGAAATACAATTACACAATGACTGGAGAAAGATTCCTGAGAAATTTCACATGAGAATTAAACACGAAAGCGCGCTAATAACACTCTCGGATGCATCGCATTATAATATATTTACGCATTTACATTGATTAAATAAAACGTGCGGAGGCTTTCGACTCTAAAATCACAACATAAGATCAAGCGTTTCCCATTTGCGCTTAACTTTGTTGGTAAACTTTGTTAATGAATTCGCGTAAATGCAAAACAAATACGATACTGCTCTCTAAACTTCCTCCTTCTCTCCCCCCCCCTCTCTCTCTTTCTCTGATTCGTCTTGCTTTTTTAAATTTATAGAGGATGTTTCCTCAACTAAAATTTGATTTTGCCAGAGATCTCTTCGTAACTTTTTAATTTCCTTTTCCACTTTTCAATTTGAAGAATTAATCCATAAATGTGCTGCAAGATAAAAAGGAGCTGTACCTTTAAATACGTATTTATGTAAGATATCTACGAATTATCGCTACTCATTTATACGTGTTATTTAATCAATCTTCTTTAATGAGAATTCTATTAGTTGTTATATATCATTCCCGCGATTCCACTTTCAGCATTAATCACTTTCGTAACTAAATTGCGAGTTGAAACGTCGTTAAGATAAAATCCACTTAAAATTGAACAACTCAATTTAAAAAAAATTTGAAACTAGCTCTGTAGCAACCGTGACGTATTGCACACAATGTAATATTATTGCGATTAACGAAGTTACCGTATGCATTTAGTAGCAGCTATATAGTTAATAATTAATGCGTGTTTACTATGATGAATAATGGATGCACATTAAAACCGCAAACTACTGGATAAATTAGTGCTTATATACAATGTTATTTCGCCAATTAAATCCATTTTTTCAGCGATCTATCTTTATAAATATATTAGTACAATTTTATTTACGTGGCGCAGCAACAACGGCGCAATTGCTAATTCAGTTTTCCTCTCATAAAACAGTCCTCTCGTAAAAAAGACGTGTTAAGTCGATACTCGAAAGTCTTCAAGTATTATTTCCTCTTTTCCGCGATGCTAATTGGCTCACTTCGTGCCACGAACTGCCAGTGACAAGACGATTGAATTTTGACACCTATCAAAGAGGCTGCGTATAAAATAAGTTGTTTTTAAGAAAAATTTTCACGCGAAGCTTGAGAGTGCGAGAGAGAGAGAGAGAGAATATTAGGAATAGAATTTTAGCAGGCGGCATATCAAATTCTCAACGGACGCCTTTGTTTTGATGCCCGCGCGGTGTACACGTGATTGTTCACGTGTCGCACCCTCACTCGCTCGCCGAACGTCGAGCCGGCAGGCGGTGTCGCGAGTCGCTCCGTGCCTCGTATTACTTTTATTACATTATCAATTTTCGAAACGCGATCACGAGTTCGAGAATAAAACTCTATTAATTTGCACACCTTTACCAGTAACAAGTAAGGTTCGACTAATCATTAAGTTTCTACAGCTCGTAACGAGAAACGAATTGCTGAGGCGACGGCTTTCTATCAACGTACATAAATATTTCACGAGAATAACTAATCTAGTAAAATATGAACGTAAATCGTGATACTTGATCGTAATTACGTCTCGTTTACGCATCGCGCTTTGAATTGGCTGTCGATTTTAGTGTAATCTTTTAGTTTCGAGAAACGATAGAGAGCTTTGTTGGTTTACGGCTTTAGTATTTCCGTTGTTTGCTGTATTTCGTTGTTACACTTCGTAGCTCAGACAGGAAGTAGAGAAAGTCGCCACGTTAGATCGCGAAATATAATCAAGAACTATCTCAGTTAATTGTTACAATTAATAGACTTGATCGTAGTGGACGTTTCGCTCGCACAAATCATTTCGCGCGAGGATTAAATTGTGTTGTCCTATTAAATTAAAATTTGCAATTAAGTAACTTACGTTCGTGCACATCAATTTAATTCACGCAACATCTCCGGTGTAATTAGAATATAAGAAACGATTTTCGTTTGAAAACTTTCTCAAAATTTTCTCGATCGAACAGAGTCAATCGTTACCTTAACAATACTAATTATCCGCAGAACGATAGGAGCAAGATATACCTATAGTAGCAATCGCTGAAGAAAGTAATTTGAAAGAGAGAAAGAAAGAGAATATTAGGTATAGAATTGTCAATTGCGTATGTAGGCCAACGAATTCTCAACGTTTTCTTGTTGTTTTTCACTCGGCGCGGTATCGTACGACGATTAAGCGGGCCAACGAATTCTCAACGTTTTTTTTTGTTGTTTTTCACTCGGCGCGGTGACGTACGATGTTTTTGCGTGCCATCATGTTGAAGGTCGGCCGCGCTCTCACTCGCTCGCCGGGCCTCGAGCCGGCAGGCAGTCTCGCGAGTCGCTCCGTGCGTCGCATTACTTTTACATTATCAATTTTCGAAACGCGATCGCGACGAGTACGAGAATAAAAGTCTATTAATTTGTACACCTTTGTCAGTAACAAGTTCGATTAATCATTAAGTTTCTACAGCTCGTAACGAGAAACGAATTGCTGAGGCGACGGCTTTTTATCAACGTACATCGATATATCACGGGACTAACTTATCTATTAAAATATGAACATAAATCCTGATACTTTATCATGATTACACTCTCGTTTACGCATCGCGCTTTGAATTATCTGTCGATTTCAGTGTAATCTATCCTTCAGTTTCGAGAAACGATAGAGAAATTTATTGGTGTACGGCTTCAGTATTTGCGTTGTTTGCTGTATTTCATTCTGATATACTTCGTAGCTGAAACAGGCAGGGTGTAGAGAAAGTTGCCACGTTAAATCTCGAAGTGTAATCAAGAATTATCTTAGTTAATTGTTACAAGCGGGTGTTTCGCTCGCGCAATTCATTTCGCGTAAGGATTAGATTGTCTGACAATTCGGATTGTAAAATATCGTTTCGTCGCGGATTAATTACTACTTATTTACCGCAGATGCTTTGATTCCGATACTCGCATCGTATTTTATATCGTAAATTTAAAAGTGACTTGTTCAGTGATAATTGCCGGTTTGAATGATTTGCGTGACGGAAAGTCATACGACGCACGAATAACCCGGTGTGTTTCGCGGTGTTTCACGTCGCGTACGGGAGTGTCACGCAAAATTTCGCGCGTTCGTTCTCGCGAGTGAATATTGTGAGTGCAACAAGGAAATCTGAGAGGAGGAGCAGGCCTGGAAGGCGTCGGGCAACGGCGGAGCAACCGTGAGGTGAGTGTTTTGTTTTATATACATATATTATTTGTTACTCGCAAAATTAATATCTACTCTCTGTTTGTCTTATTTACTCAAACGATTCCAAAAAAAGTTGCACACAAAACGTACGTTAAAATCTCGTGAGTTTATATTAAAAAGAAAAATATTTTTGTCGAGTACTTTATAATCATTTTATTAAATATCTATTTGAACAATATATAAAATGAATAAAGACTTATTGTCGCCAATAAATAATTAATCAACGTAGGAAAATTAATGAACGACTCAACTGGCGAGTTTAAATTAAAGAATTTTATTGCGGAAAATATTACCGCAATAAACAGTCTAATATATAAAATATTTAATGCAATAATTTCGATTTTAAGTAATTACTCTATAATAATCGTATATATTTTTCTTTTTTACAGTTCAACGTAGTTACGACAACTCCGCCGCTGCGCATCGTATCGGTGAGTGGTTAAACTTTTATTTAAAAAATTGGTATACTGGATCTGTTATACGAAAAAATTGCAGTATATCTACATTGAGCGGTAAACAATATATTTATGCATATCGAATGTATTCGGGTGGGAAATAAAATAAGCCAGAAAAACGTGGATAATATCTTTAATAGTTAATAGAGAGCGAGAGAGCGAGAGAAAGAGAGGCGTGCAGCGCGCGCAATACTGTGCTCTAGTCTAATAAAAATTACATAGATACTTTAAAACTCGTTACTCTTTTCACTTACAAGTTTTTCGATCAATAAAGAAGTTAAATTTTTGCTAACGAAAATTTCAAGGGGTCGTTTCTCCTCACAATTTTTTTAATCTAGCCTACCCTATTAATTCACCTGGAATAATTATGCTCTATAAAGATTTTATTAAAGTTTACGCGAAATTAAATTGCAAAATTAGCATCCGCTGTTCAACTTGTGGAGCTCGAACATTCAAAATCGCTCCGTTTCTAATTGCCTATCTCGCAAGGACTATCGATTTCTCGACGTTCTTGTCAAGGTAAAAGTTATCTCGAATTGATTGAAGGATACATTGATGAAAATTGAATCGCTAGATCTAGGACACGTCAGAGATACGTAGCAACCTGAACTCGAAATTGTATCAGTTTCTTTCGTATATAAATCATACCATTCTAGAATTTCAGACATATTTCTAAGAAATGATAAAAACACAAGATAAAGTAATTCATTTCTTTCTTAATCAAGAAGATATTTTCCCCCATTATCGATAATTGGAGGGACGCCATCTTACTGGAAACTTCTTTTTCTCCATCCGTGTTAGAGATTGCTATCGCGGCAAGTTTATCTGCGTAATAAATACGCATTAACTTAATAAAGGCCGGCCTAATATAATTCCGGGACTATCAGCGGAAATCAGGATCGCGGCCTCGCGGCCTAACGTGATTGCAGGTCAGCCTTGACTTTCGGTACCAAGAATAACGGCGGCGCGGTCGGCAGACCGTCCCGGGTACGGCCTTCGGTCGGCGGAATTCCACGGAATTCAGGAAGTTGGAAACTCGAGAGTTCGACCGCCATTAACGTGGCGCAATCGTTCACCGTTTCGTCGGCACACGCAAAGATCGGCCGCGGGCGCGCGCGCGCGCGCGCGCATCGGCGCGGTCGACCGCGCGATATACAGTCGCGTTGTACGCGAACGGCTGCGAACGTACGTTTTAATTAAAGGGCAAATTCGATTGAAATTGTCTGGCGAAGCGTGGCGGCGGGTCTACCCCTCCCCCCCCCGTTTCCAACCCCTCCCCCCGTTCACGGAGTCAACCAACCCCCTTCCGACGCAGGCTACAGTGTACGTATATCACGGCAGGGTCCCACATTTACGGCCGTACGCGAGTATCGTCGCGCCAGCGCGTCAGCTCGCCCACCGTGGAAAATGGATTTTAATTTAATTCCCGCGGTACAAAAGCACACACCGCGTGCCCCTCACGGACCGTCCTTTCAACCTGCCCGCCCCCCGTGTTAACTCGATTACGTCGTCCCCGTCGTCGTGAGAGCACTTCGCCGGAGGTTCAAGGTGCGGTCCCCCGTCCGTTTGTTCGACGAAAACGAGAGGAGACCGGCCGGCCGGCTGGTGGAGATCGAGCTTGCGGCAAAAATGAATTAGTTCGGGGGCACGGAAAATTAGCATTACCGTGCGCACCTCTCTCTCTCTCTCTCTATTTATCTCTCTTTCCTTTTCTTAATGATTAGTTAACTATGAAAATTCCGAGACCTGCTGTAAACTCATTGTCAGTCACGTCGACTCTCGTCTCACTTTACCATTCTGCTCTTCTCTCGATGGAAATATCGGTGTACTTGTATTTATATCCCCAAAAATGATTAGTTCAGGAGCACGGAAAATTAGCATCACCATGCGCATCTCTCGCTATCTCTCCTTTTCCTAGTGATTAGTTAACTAGGAAAATTCCGAGACCTGTTGTAAACTCATTGTCAGTCACGTCGACTCTCGTCTCACTTTACCATTCTGCTCTTCTCTCGATGGAAATAATGTACTTGTATTTAGATTCCCTCGTGTCAAGTAAGGTAGGGAATTTTTTTTATTGAAAATTTTGCCGAGCGGAAAAATTCACTTTAAATATTTGATTTTAATAGTTTTATTGAGGCGCGAAACACCTAAAATAGATTTTCGCTCGATAAATATTTTAATCAAATTGATCACTCGATACTAATTCCGATAGCGTTTTGTTCCTCGATCTCATAAATGTCAACATTGGCGAAATTCGCGGTCTGATGGGCACGTACGGATGGACCGTAATATACGAGAGCCTATACTTTGGTCTGAATCACTGGTAAAACTTACCGTCATTTCGGCACAAGAATGATCGATGAAAGTCAGTTCCGATTCCTCGCCAGCCAAAAGCACGCTGACGGTCTTTTCGCCGGACTCGTCGTCTGCAATGAACGAGAATACAGTTGGGCTTGGTGATATTACGCGAACCGTGTATTAAATAACTCATTAAGTAATTAACAAATAAAGCCGGGACGATCGACCTGATTTTACGGGGAAACAAACGCCTGAGTCTAAATGGAGTGTCACTCCAGAGACGCCCTTCATTCCAAATTCAATTCAGAGACTAGGAATATGCGGGCACTTGTAAAGTGCAAATCAGGTCGAATTCAAACTTCCCCATCGGTTTTCGAATAAGTTTGATAATTCAACAAGATCCGCGAAATTGACGCAACAGCTTTCCTCTAATTGTACGAATACAGATTTATTTTAAGGGAAGGGGAATTAATTTTGCGTACGGTGAAGGTCTTCGGCATGAAACTTGGCGCGAGCCGAAATAATAGAGTGTCAGCATTTAAATCGGATTTGTTTCGGTTCGCGCACACAGCGGGTCGACCCGGAAACCTCGCGCCACCCCTATTCCGGGCCATTCCACGCCGCTTCGAAATCACACGCACGGATTTTTTCCGTTTTTGATCGTTCGAACAAAACAATTACATCACACTTCAAACTCGAATGGAGAGTGTCCCGCTTGTTTTCGTTCCGATTCGCTCTATCCGGGTGGCTTTCGGGGATCCTTACGGGGGTCGCGTGCCGCGCGTTTGATCGATCGGTGACGTCGTGGTCGAACGGGGGAGCGGAAGGTCGTGGATTTTGCGGCCGCGATGGGGCTGTAACTTGGTCGACTCACCGATCGAAGTGTCGTAGGCGTGCAGGTACTCGGAAGTCATAAATTGAGACACCAGCGAGCTCTTGCCGACGGCGGGGGCGCCCAGCATAAGGACGCGATACGGCGCCGGACCTTGGGACGCGCTGCTCTCCCTCGAACTCGCCAACGAGCCCGCCGCCGAATTCCGCGCCGATCCTGGGTACGAGGCAGTCAGGTGTTCCGTGCTGCGTCGAATAGAAGAAAGACTAGGCGCGTGTTGGGATTAGCACAGGATTAAGTTACATCGTCGATTTATATAAGAATGAAACTTATTTCGTAAACACCGATTCGAGAAATCAGGGAAAGAAACTATGCACTTGAATCTCTTAGATTTTCGATTTTGGGGGGAGAGGGGCATGTCTTTGCTTGGACACAGATGGATGGAGTATCAAAGACAAATCGGTCTTTTAGAAAGAAATTTGGTAATTGTGCATAAAAGCGACTTCCTCTCCGATTCGCTTGATTTTTAAATATGTTGTTGGGGATGTCTTCCCGAGTAATTTCATATATATATATAAGGG